AATAGCGAAATACAAACTTGCTCTAGCTCTACAAGGGTTGCAAGCCATCTATCCAACAATTCTAATTACTATGATCACTAGACACACAATTTGCTAAGTCACTACTCACTAAGATCTTTCACACTTGCTACACTAAAGGGTTCCACTAGATGAAGTCAAACTACAAAGCAAGCTCTCAATTCTAATTACACTAAAGAGTTTGCTACAACTAGTTTGCGAGAATATAAATGAGTGAGTAGGGTGATTATACCCCGTGTAGAGGAGTGAACCAATCACAAGATGAACATTAAATCAATCACTAGGAGAATACCAAAGGGTAAGAGACAATCAATTTTCTCCCGAGGTTCACGTGCTTGCCAACACGCTACATCCCTATTGTGTCGACCAACACTTGGTAGTTCAGCAGCTAAGAGGTGTTGCACGAACCTCGTTCATACAATTGGACACCACAAGAACCTACCCACAAGTGAGGTAACTCAATGACACGAGCAATCCACTAGGGTTACCTTTTGACGCTTCACCGGAGAAGGTACAAATCCCCTCACAATCACCAGAGATGGCAACGAACAATTACCAACTCGTGACAATTCTCCTCCACTGCACTGAGCCGTCTAGGTAGTTGCAACCACCAAGAGCAACAAGCGAATCTGGCAGCAAAACACGAACACCAAGTGCCTCTAGATGCAATCACTCAAGCAATGCACTTGGATTCTCTCCTAATCTCACAAAGACGATGAATCCATGATGGAGATGAGTGGGAGGGCTTTGGCTAAGCTCACAAGGTTGCTATGTCAATGTAAAATGGCCAAAAGTATGAGCTTGAGCCGGCTATGGGGGTTAAATAGAAGCCCCATGAAATAGAGCCGTTGGCTCCTCAGTCCACTGAAAATCAGGGCGACCGGACACGCCGGTCGTATTGACCGGACGCGGACCCCAGCGTCCAGTCCTCAGATATTCGCCACGTGTCCCCTGCTTCAAATGCTGATCACTCAATCTCAATGATCATCAGTGCATTTAAGTTGTGACCGGACGCACTGCTCGAAGTGACCGGACGCACCAACACCAGCGTCCGGTCGTTTCCAGTAAGGTTCCACTCGCGACCGGACGCGTCCGGTCATGCCCGACTGGACTCGCCCAGCGTACGATCACTCACCCACTTCTCTGTGTGCTGCCACATCATCATGACCTGACGCTGAATAGTGTTCAGCTAGAGTCCGATCGTCTGTGTCCGGTCAAGAGACTGAGGGTGGCCTTCACTGCGCGCCACTGATTGGACGCAGGACCCCAGCGTCCGGTCACTGCGTGACCAGCATCCGGTGCACTCTGTGAAACTCTGTCTTTTCTGTACAGGGCGCCGATGGCACCGTCGGACTGTCCGCACTCTACGGGCGGACACTCCGCCGGTGAAGTTTTGAACCCTTGCCCCCAAGTACTAAACACAATGTGTATCACCATTGTGCACATGTGTTAGCACATTTTCACAAGCATTTTCAAGGGTGTTAGCTTTCCACTAGATCCTAAACGCATATGCAATGAGTTATAGCATCTAGTGGCACTTTAATAACCGCATTTCGATATGAGTTTCACCCCTCTTAATAGTATGGCTATCGATCCTAAATGTGATCACACTCTCTATGTATCTCGATCACTAAACAAAAAAGCTCCTAACAATTTTACCTTTGCCTTGAGCTTTTTATTTTTCTTTCCTCTTTTCTAAGTCCAAGCATTTGATTATCACCATGCCATCATCATTATCATGTCATGATCTTCATTTGCTTCACTACTTGGAGTAGTGCTACCTATCTCATAATCACTTTGATAAACTAGGTTAGCACTTAGGGTTTCATCAATTCACCAAAACTAAACTAGAGCTTTCAATCTCCTCCTTTTTGGTAATTGATGACAACCCTTTCATAAAGATATGAATTAGAATTTAATTGAATCTATGTTGCTTGTCCAAGCATATTTACCATGTGTAAAAGGATATGGACAAGTTTCATGAACCCCAAAAGGTAGCAATTGCTCCCCCTACATATGTGCTAAGAGTTTGGATTGTAGCTTGCACATATGCTTAGATAGGAAATATAGGAGACAATGTCTACCAAATGATGCTAAGGTATAAGAGATGGACCTTTGAAGCATGATACCAATCGGAGTGCACCAATATACACAAAAACTAGAATACCCCATGAGATCAACATTAGAAGCAAGGGTCTAGTTTCCATAAAATGAATATAAGTCTAGTTACTTTAGCCTATGCATGCTAGTTTTTTATTTCATCATTCAAGCCTATAACTAGCATACACCACCCAAGCATGGATATTGAAATTTAAAATTTGTGCCATGCAAGCAAATATATGAAATGCATATTTAAATGCAACATACAAGTTTATGAGCTTGCTCCCCCGACTTGTGTATAATTTGATTGATCCGATTGATCCCCTTACAATATTATTTCATTTATTTGCTTCTCCTATCTTACTATCTTTGTGAATTTCTCTCCCTCTTTGTCAACAATTAGCACAAAAGGTGAGCTCAAATTTTGGATAGGTTGGGGTGAAACCATGTAAAGTGAGGATCATATTCCCAATTTGGTTCAATCTAGATCACTTACAAAAAGATATTTAACTCAGTTTGATCCAAGGACAAGCTTCTTCACACCTCCAAATAAGGGTTATCTTGTACCATGTTGAGTTAAACACTTATAGCTTATTTTCTAGATAAACACTAGGTTTACAAGCCCACAAACATGTCATATGCTACCACTAGATCATTTCAAGCATTTAAGCAATAGTGGTACCATACAAGCATCAAATTCATTTGATTTTCATGAATGAGCCTATTTAAATATCAAATATGTCTAGATACACTAAACATGTCCTTAGCAAGGATGTATGCCATGCCAATCCACTTTTACCTTGGATTGCTCGAAGGGGAGGCATGTCATATAATGGGGGGGTGCATCAACACATATTAGAGAAGTCAAGTATGTTCAATTCATTCCTTAGCTTGCAAAATCTCTTCTCATCAAGTGGCTTGGTGAATATATCGGCAAGTTGATTTTTGGTGCCCACACTCTCAATGCAAATGTCCCCTTTTTGTTGGTGATCTCTTATGAAATGATGGCGAACATCAATGTGCTTTGTTCTTGCATGTTGAACCGAATTGTTGGTTAACTTGATTGCACTCTCATTATCACATAGCAATAGCACTTTCTTGAACTTGATTCCAAAGTCACTCAAAGTGGCCTTTATCCAAAGTATTTGTGCACAACAACTACCAGCGAATATGTATTTGGCTTCGGCGGTTGATAATGCAACACTATTTTGTTTCTTTGATGACCATGAAATAAGTGATCTTCCCAACAATTAACATGTGCCCGAGGTGCTCTTACTTTCAACCTTGCATCCCTCATAATCTGAGTCGGAGTAACCAACTAGCTCAAACTTTGCTCCTTTGGGATACCACGAGTCAACATTTTGTGTATGCTTCAAGTACCTCAATATTCTCTTTGTAGCCTTCAAATGACTTTCTCTTGGTGAGGCTTGAAATCTTGCACACATGCATACACTAAACATGACATCCGGCCATGATGCTGTCACATAGAGTAGGCTTCCAATCATAGACCGATACATCTTTTGATCCACCATATTGCCACTTGCATCCCTATCCAAATTTCTATTTGTCCCCATTGGTAATTGACGAGAGCTGAGGTGGAGGAGCGCTGCATCGCTCGCCCGACGCCTCACCTCCTCGCCGGATTAGGGGTCCTCCTCGTCGGATCAGGGGTCCTCCTTGCCGGATCCGGTTCCTCCTCGCCGAATGCGTTGGTGGTGCTCCACCTCCGCCTCCTTGTGCTTCCGCCGCATGTGACTCGCCGGATTCGCCGGTGCTGGAGGTGCTCAGCCTCCACCCCGATGCTCCTCACTGTCGGTCGGTCACGGGCGCCACCGCGAGGCATGCCGACGCCGGCCCAGGGCGCCACCGCGTGGCCCGCCGCTGCCGGTCTGGGAGCGCCGCTCGGAGGGAGGAGAAGAAGGAGAGGGAGAGGGGGTGCTGCTCGCCGCGTGCTCGTCACGACTGAGTGAGAGGGAGGCGCGAGAGGGAGAGAGAGAGAGGGACGAGCTGAGGGAGTGTGAGGATGAGGGAGAGGGGCGCTGTGCTCGCCACGACTGAGTATGAGGCCGCATGCTCGTCGCGACTAAGGGAGAGGGAGAGGGGCGTCGTGCTCTACTCGCGACTGAGGGAGAGGGAGGAGAGGATGAGTGAGTGAAACCCTAAAATCTCGTATATATACTTCGAGTGATATATCGGGCCAAGTGGACTTTTCTTATTGCTAGTGGGTTAGGCCTTTATTAACACAGGTCGGCCTTATTCGAAAATAGGGGTATTTTTAGAAGTGGGCCTCTTATAAGGCCCACCTCGGTTAATAGACTTTAGGAGGCGATGGGCCTCCGTAAATAGATTTTGCGAGGCGGTTGATTGTAACCGCCCTGGTTAATAAAAAACGACCACCTCGGTTAATCCGAGGCATTAACCGAAGCGGTTCAAAATCGTGCCCGCCTCCGAGGCCAATTTCAAAACGCCTCGTAAAATATTTTATGTAGTAGTGTTACTAGATCTACTAGCTAGCAAGACTCATGAATTTAACATGATATTAGACAAAATCTGTATGTCCCAAACTCAACTAAGTTTGTCGCATATTAGTAGTAGTATGAGACCTCCATTTTACATGTACAAAAATATACCAAGCTTCGTCGAAAAGCACCTTGCATCCTTCTCTCTCTCTCTCTCTCTCTCTCTCTCTAGAACTCACCGACATCTCTCTCTGTCTCTCAACATACACTGAAATAAACACTAAATCCACTAGAACACTGTATGAAGGATGGCACTCTATAATCTAGCCACCCAGAACAAAACACCAGCAGGGAAACACACATGTTCAGTTTTTACATGATAGTGAGGGCACCATCATGCATGGTCGATCCTCCTCATAGCTACTAGCACGCGCCGTCAACCTCCAAGCTCCTTGGAGTCATTTGGAAGAAATGGTCCCAGGCATACTGGAAGCTGACGGTGGCCATACTTGGTATTGGCTCGCCACCGTTCACCAGGTAGACGCCACCATCGTCGGTGCGGAACGCAGCCGGATCCACGTCCACTGTCGTCGCGAAGCCCCTGCCGCCGAGGCGCAGGTTCCTGACGGCGCATGGACACTGGTTCTTCACCTCCACTACGAAGATGGTGTCGCCACCGGTCACTATCGTGCCGGTGTTTATGGTGTCCACCTGGATGCTTGACGTGTCGCATCGCTCGCCATTTGCTCCTGATCATGTATTTGTTATATGGAGTCTACTGACAACTTAATGACATAACACAGTACTGTATGTGGATACAAATGTGAAGAAACAATCTTTTCATGTGTAAAATCTCTGAATTGTAGGTACTTCTAGATTACATTTGTAGTTCAGGTAGAGTAGTGTTGGGACGAAAGGCACCGTTTTAGAAACTCTATCTGTTACTAGTTCAGATTTGAACTCCGAGACTCTGCGAGTATGGAGCTACACATGTTTATAACAAAACACGCTTGTTCAATTCAACTGTGAGGGTTACCGTACCTATCACAGATGGTGAAGATCACAATAGTGAGGATCGGCTGAAGCTTGTGGCAAGTGTCCATGTTTCTTGCTCTCTTCCTTTAGGAGACCAGCAGACGTCTTCTGCTTGCTTTGTATGGGTGAGTCTCGGCCGGTGATATCTCTAGCTATTTGTGGTTTTTGATGATGGTACTACGAACGCGGCAATGTTCTATTTTATAGACCGCGACAAGGCTCTAGAGATTCGAAGAGAGAAGTCCGTACACCTGCATTTGTATAGTTCTAGTTACATCTAGAAATGACTTCGACTTCTTTCCTTGACAGCTAAGGACGTCCATGGATATATGCCACTGGAAACAGCAAAAGCTTCAAACGAAAAATGAGACATGCATGATGTTTAGTACCTTGCTTGCAGCTCACTTTTTGGATAAAAGTAATCTTGTCTTGAGGGATTTTAAAAATACCAGTACTCTAAGGTAACATGATCATTTTCGCTTTCTACAAAGTTAGGTCATTCTTTTTATCGTATCTGATCATCATTGTTTGTAACAACCCAAAAATGTACTCTATGTAGATGCTCTATGGACGCTATCCAATTGTGATGACCTTATTAGTTACTCAATCCATCCAAAATTGTAAGACGTTTGACTTTTTTGACATCAAGTTTGACCACTCGTCTTATTCAAAAATTTGTGTAAAATATCACTTCTTTCGTCGTGGTTTGGTTTATTAATAAAAATTCTTCAAGAATGACTTAAATTTGACTATATTTGCACAAATTTTTTGAATAAGACGAGTGGTCAAACTTGAAGCTAAAAAAGTCAAACGTCTTATAATTTGGGATGGAGGGAGTACTTTACAAATTTGTACCATCCATATTCATAGTTTTCCTTCTACATGGCACTTACACGTGTCTTGAACATGCATTTAATTAGTTGGAACTTTAGCTTAAGTTATTAGTAGGTAGAATTTTTTTTCCATATATTAAGTTCAAACTCTTATGCTTATTAAACCTTTATATTTAAGGCTATCATTTGTATTTGTTTACAATGAGGATGTTAGGTCATAAACTACACTCTTAATTACTACTACAATGGTATAGAAGGTCATTAAGCCTGCACCATGTCTCTCAAGATCGTACTCGAGCTTAAAGTGAGTTCTAGGAAGGACAAATAAAAATGCTAACCTTAAGAAGGTTTTAGTATTTAAACCTAAAAATAATGTTTAGTCCAAAATACTGAAAACCAAGGCGCCATTGACCTCCTACACTTTTCAACATATAGATTTTTTTATATAAAACACTATATGTGAAGTAGTATTTTCTATAAAAATAATAGAGTGCTTACATTATACAATCAATAAAGATCTATCATAACTACATCTACAAAAAAGGTAAATTTAAATATATAAAATGACAACTTACATAATCACTACTACTTAAAGCATTTTCTAAGACAATCAATTTTAATTAAAGGAGGTGGGTAAGGCGTCCGCCTCCGGCAAAACGTCTTTGTTAATTTGGGTTTCTAGAAGTGGACACTTTGACCGCCTCCTTTAGCGGGTTTCAAAAAAACCTAAACCCCCTCCCCCCAAAAAAAACTTTCGAGAGGTGGACCCTAATCCCATTAACAGAGACAGGCTCCTTAAACCGTCCAGCTCATTTAACGGTTTCCAAACAACCAACAACCTATCACTCGGTACTAACATCGAAGTACCACTGGACCACACACTCACATGAATATATGTCGGATTCTATCTTTTCATATTAATATTTCGTTATCTTGTATTGATCATTTTGGCTTCTAAATGAACTCAAAGGAAAAAAACTTTCAACTATAAAGTTTTAAATCTTGTTGAGCACTACAACTTTAGTGAAGGACTTCAAGACAGTTTGAAAATTTAAAAAATTTGAATATCAAAATATATGAATTTAAAACAAATACTTCAGACCCTAAAAACTTTAAATCAAAAACTTATCAACAGAACATATGCAGATTTGGTCGGCCACTACAACTTTGGTATTAACCTGTGAGCATTCGTGGTCATTTAGGAATTTTAAATTTTGAATTTCAAAATTTATAAACTTATGACACATATTTGGGACTCTAAATGACTCTATATCAAAAACTTTTCAACTACAAAGTTGTAAATTGTAATAAAACCTACAACTTTGATATAGATGATGTCAACATCCGAGGTTGTTTTAAAAATTTTAAATTTCCAATTTCAAAATTCGTGAACTTAGAACACTTTTTTTTGGGGACTCCAGCACTTTCCAATTAAAAACTTTTCAACTACAAAGTTCTAGGTCGTGTCAAGAGCTACAATTATGATATAAAGTTTGCTTTCATCCAAGTTCATATGGAAAAGTTATAATTTATTTTTAGTTGCAACTATTAATAGAGACTGGCATATTATGACACCGCCTTTGAAATCGTTTTTTTGAGATGTCGCTTAGGATGGCCGCATCTTTTAATGGCAATTTTCAGAGATGGACACCTTAAGATGTTCGCTTCTGAAAATTGATTTATGGAGTCGGGTGTCCTAAGACGACAGCCTCTATTAATTGATGATTTTCAGAGGTAGTTGCATTAGGAAGCCCGCCTCCGTAAATGATTCTCAAAGGCAGGTATTTTTCAGGGGGCCCTGCCCATTTACAGAGTGGGTCGCTAGGTGTCTCCGCCTTCATAAATGATTTGAGCTTTTCTCAAAAAATCATTTTTCTAGTAGTGAATTATGGTCACGGATATTAACACAACTATAAATGAAGTTTTAGCTAGTATAATTTGTACATGTGTCGCTATTTTTCATGTTTGCCAAAAACATACAAATATACTTTTCTGGCTCATGCATGCATACTTAATTTATGCATGAGGGAACATGCACAATTACTATAAGTTTGTTTCTTATATATTAATAGTGATACATGTGGTACCTTAGAAACTCATATATGGGTATTTTATGGTTTTTTAAACTTTTCATAGTAGCATATTGTCGGTGTTTTGTAGACCGACCAGTGAATTTATACGAATGTCGTGCTGCTCCAGTAAGACGATGGTAGCATCCAAAAAACATGAGGAGTTATACTGGTTCAGGCCGGAGCCCTACGTCCAGTCTCAGAGATGATCGAGTGTGTGTTGCTCGCTTGAATACTCTGAAGTTCTTACAATGGGGGTGCAAGAATGGTGGAAGAGGTAGGAGAGCTAGAGCTAGGAAATGGACTGCCCAAATGGGAGCTCCGGGAGTCTGATAATGTCCATGAAAGGGTGCCCTGGCTGCCCTTATATAGAGTTCGGGGCCAGGTCAAATACAAAGAAGGAGGTTCTCCCGACCAAGGGATAGTGAGTCCGAGGGAGGGAACCTAGCTAACTTGGCTTGCAAGTAATGCTATCTTGTCTCTGGTGTAGTGCATGTCCGGGTGTGGTTGTCGTCATAGTCTTGTGCCCACGTCGTGGCATGGCATGGCGTGGTATTACTGTGCTGGTCGTGGCAGCACTGTGGGCACAGTGATGTTTCACCAACCGTCCTGCGCGACATGGTCTCGTCATGGCCTTCATCATCGTCTCCTGATCTCCCGGGGGCATCATACAGGAGTTGGTATCCATCCCCGGGTCGTTGGTTGTCTTGCTGCTTACAGAGCCAGTGGCCATCATGGCCTTTGTTGGCTTTATGGCCTCAAAAGTCAAGGCTGCCGTTGTGGTCCCCATCCCATATTGGGTGGAGTCATACACCTGTTTTGTCGGGCCGTATTTGGACGGTGGGTCGCCATACTGGCCGCCATCGCTTGGCGGTGTTGTCTTGTCTATGTTGCGTGGTGCGGGGATGGTGTCCTAGAGGTCGGGACGGAGGAGAGGTCGTGAGTAGTTACATGGCACACGGTGAAGGCTAAGGGAAGAGGTCGTTGCCAACCCTTCCTTTGTGTTTGGCCTAGGTCCACATATCTTAGCTAGGTCTTGATCGTTTGGACTTATACTAGCTGGTGTACCGTGGGCCGCCCGAGCGCTAACTAATCGGTGTCTTGAGATACCCGGGGTATCATAACGCCAACATGTATATATGTTTGTAATTTTGATGCATATTTGAGGGAATATTTTAGTTTACATGTTAATAATGCAAAAAAGTAATTTTGACGCAGGGGTTATTAAGGTTATCGATTATAATGGCACATTGGCAATTTACATGAAAACTAAAAGGTTACTTTGGATTATGTTTTACTACCTCCATCCAAAAAAGAATGCAATTATGGATTGCGTGCCATGTAAAGTGGTTCACGTTTGACCAAGTTTCAAGTGAACAATGTTCACGTTTATGGCTCCAAATTAATTTATTATGAACTACATTTTCGTAATTACTCTAATGATATTTATTTGGTATCATAAATATTGATATTTTTTATCTATAATTGGTCAAACTTACGGTACTAAAATGTGACAATGTACTAGAATTGCATTATTTTGGGGACGGAGGTAGTAGAATGGTAGAGTGGGATATGTAATTTTGATGCAAATTTCAGGTTCACTTTATATTGTTTTTTCATAATGCGAAATGTGGGTAATATTTTAGAAAATAAATTATATCCAATGACTATTATTATCATTAGTGATTGGAGTCTATCTTTCTGATTTTCCTATGATTTTTTAAGATTTATCCTTTCTCTAATGTGTCCTAAGAGAATTATTTTGGAGGCTCCATTTAAATATGCAATTTTTTTACACTCATTTTTATATGCAGTGTTGGTAACAGTAAGATATATATACATGATGAAAAGAGGAACAAAAACGCCTCCCTAGTGGTGGCACTAAAAAAAATAACATAAAGAAACATGTCTACATGCCATCTTTAATTTTCGTCGATGCAGGTCATTCCATCAATCTGAATGGTTACTGAATGTATCAGCATGGAACGTATTGATATGGTCTTTTACCTTTTAAATGTAGAAACAATAATGAAGAATATAGCCTTGAATATATAACAGTTTCCTTAGGGGAATGCCAGCTAACACACTAGGGAAGCTGGTGCTCGAAAAAGGGATTCCTTTCGGGAGTAAATAAAAGTGGAGAAAAAAACAAGTGTGAAGTTCATG